CATAAATTAAATTATAAAAAAATTAAATTAAAAAATTACACAAAAATTTCAAATAGTTAATTTGATACTAATATCGATATATTTTTGTCAAATTTTTGTGATATCTTCAAACATATATTTTATTCAAAAATAAAAACATTATCGCTTTCTCAAAATCACATAAAGCCATATTATAATATCAACTGAGATAAATAATAAAATGAAATATTAAAATCACGATATATCTCGCTGCATTGCGCAAGTACGCTTCTAGTATAGATAAATAGATATATAATATTTAATTTATTCATTAGAAACGACAAATAAGGGGAAAAAATATGTGAAAAAATTAGTGTTGCGATGTTTTGAATCGAAGAATATGATATTCAAGTGTTGTGAGTTGTGATCCAATCCATTGTTTTCTATTACTACTTTTTCCCCTCATTTTTAAATATAAAATAATTTGTTTAAGATGCTTCAATATTTAAATATAAAATAATTTGTTTAAGATGCTTCAATATTTAAATATAAAAAAATTATAGTTAATTGTATTTATGTCATAAAATTCAAGTTGGTTATTTAAAAAACATCACATCACATCACATATATTTATATGTGAATATGATTTTATTGGGAATACTACATTTGATCCTAAAAAAATAAAATACCAATGAAAATCATCCTTCATACCTTGAAAATCGTCTCTGAAGTGTTAAATCGTTGCGTCATAGGTTGTCTTCACAAGAAGACAAAATAAGGGTCAAAATCTCCCCAAATTTGATGGATTTTAGGTATGATATATGATATTTTTGTCCTCCAAATCAGATACATGTGGAACCCTTTTCGTACATTCTGGTCACAATCGCCCCCAGGTGCGATTCGAATGGTCATTTGGTGAAAATGCTTTGAAAAATGGTCGTTTTGTTAATTTTGGTCAATTTCTCCTCTTGTAATCTCATATTATCTTTTTGTTAATATCTTATATTCTTATTTCATCATTTTTTTTAATCGAAACATAAAGATGTTTATAGAGGCAGGTTCAAACGAGAAGGTAAATGTTTTGTAAGAAGAAAAAAAGAGATATTATGCAACCAATACAACTCCATCTCAACCGTTCATTTAATTTGATGAACATGTAATCTCATAAAAGTTTTGATTGTTTTCTAATATAAAGTATTAATTATAATTAATAAACTCTAATCATCTTCTATAAATATTCAAATCATAATAAATAAACTATCATCATTTATATAAATATTTCAATTGATTGAGTTACATTAGTTGTATAAATGGATATGGTTGCATCTGAAATATATATATATATATATATATATATATATATATATAGAGAGAGAGAGAGAGAGATTACACGTATGATACACAAGTTTAATCATATATGATTAAACACATGTTATATTAACAATACATAAACATTTAATCATATATAATCAAACACACCCAAACAAATGTAATCATATAAAATATTAAAACACGGCCGATAAAATACCAATTTGTTTTTACGTCCTGAGATCAATAATTTAAATTAATTTTCATACTGATAACTACTAACTGAACACTTAAATGTATTTTAATAAAGCGTGAGCCAAGGGGAGCGACAAGAGCGAGGTATCGACCATCGGGATTTGTCGTTTTATGGAGATCTGATTCGATACGATGCATGCAAAATGTTTACCCTTACAAAACCCCACTGTCGCCCATCTCACCATAAATAAATGAATAAAAAGTGTCGTCTATTTTTCGATTCATGTTACTGAAAAAGTTCATATTCATGATAACCATAACTTTCAGCCAGATGTTAATTTTAACAATACCAGAAAAACAGTAAGGGTCCGTTAGCAAACACTTATCTGGTAAACGCTTACCAGTAAAATTTAACACTATTATTTACTTACCGGATAAGATTTTAGTCCACCAAAACGGTATCGTATGCAACAATTTACCTAGTACACGTTTAGGGTGGTAAGAGTTATCACCCTCACTTACCGGGTAAGATTCTTGGTCCTTACCATATTCATCTGGTAAGATAATGTGACTTGGTGTTCACTTACCCACGTCCACTAAAATTAAAATACCATTCAGTAATAAAAACCAAAAAAAAAAGACTTCCATTAAAGCTTCACCAGTATTAAGAGATGATGTGTAAATAAATAATCTAACATGACAAAAAAAGGAACAAATTGATCGATGATACCGAAATCGTCACAAGACTCGCAAGTGTGTGGTAAGATGCAAAAGTCGACGAGTCGAGTCAATTTGTAAACATCATAGCGGTTGGGGTTAGAGTTGCCAATTGATCGGAGGAGTGGTTGCTTCCTCCAAGATCCGGTTGACACGAGAAAAATGCCTGCACAATTAGACCACTTGTTATGAGCAATAACATTATATGAGCCGGTGTACATGCATTGTCCAAATCAGATGAATCACCATACTCCCCCCTTAAAATCGAATTAAACCAAACGAACCCAATATATCTCAGCTGAAAGTGGGGTCTAGAAAAGATAGGATGCACGCAAACTTTACCTCTAGCTCAAAGGGTTGAGTGGTTGTTTTCTAAAGACCCTGCTTGTACCATACTTCCCTCCCTTGTGATGATCATATTAGGACTTGTGATGCAAATACAACGTTATACGAGTTCAACCACCGAGGATTAAACCTCATCATCAACATTTAGAGTTTACAATGAAGAGGCATGTCGTATTATGAAGAAACCTTGTTCAAGTAGGCGCATAATGCCTTGGACCAAATGTATAGGATAAGAACATCCAAATAAGCAAAACTATAAACCAACACCAGAAACGGGAATTTTAATGAGAACACCCACTATATCATTGGAACAGAGGATATCTGGACCCCATATTCAGATGGGATATATTGAGCTAGTTTGATTTGACTTGGTTTAACCAACACCGTTGCTCAAGTTGGGGCATAGGTAGCTCAAATTCATACAAAGAAAATCAACTTATGGTCATGATTAAACCAAACCAACCCATATAAACCAAGTAGATTCCACGCAGAGGTAGGGTCAGGGCCTAGGGGTAGCATGTACGCGACCTTTCTGTTTCCTTAAAAGACCCTTGATTTGTAAAACAAAAAATTCAATGCTTGGAGCTGGGATTCAAACCACCTCAAACCATATTATGGATCATAACCCAAATGTTTAGTCCTTTTTCTCTCAAATATACAGAAAAACACACAGATTCTTCACATTTGGTGAGGCTTGAATCCTTGACTACCGGAGGTTGGGATTGGAGATGGCAATGGAGTCGGGGATATCGGGGATTGCAATCCCCATCCCCGTCAAGGAATAAGATTTCACCCCCATCCCCATCCCCATCAGGGACGAGGATCCACATTGGGGAATTGGGGATTTCCTCCGTCTATACAGTTTAATTTTTTACGTAATATTTTTATATATTATTTATATAAATGCCAATTTATGTTTAAACGACATATAACGCTAAAATATTAATTACCAAGATTTTGATTGTTGCATTTGTATAAAGATAAGATAACAAACGTAGTTCAAACACAAATATATTAATTACAATACTTAATAATTGAAATTTTATATAATCATATTGTTATATCAACATAAGTTTTCCATGAACAACCAAACCCAATAATGTAATTTTTTCACAAGTTCTCATCATGAAAGATTGATTATATCTATACATTATATATACTAATTGGATTCCTCACTATATTATTATACTAGGTATATAGTGTTATATATATACACACACAGACACATAGAAATGTATAACTAATACTCAGGGTCAGGGTGAAGGGTATCCCCATCCCCGGTTTATAAATTCGGGTATTCCCCGGTCAAACCGGGATTGGGTATCGGGTTCCCATCGAGTGCGGTTTTTTTGCCATACCTAGTTGAGATATACCAGTAACCAGCGCGCCGCTGGACCAGTGACCCTTTAACTAACATTTGAAGACTTGGCATGCATATTCAAGGAAATCACCCAAAAGGAAGACAGGAGGGGGTTGTTAAACAGTTAATGACAACTGCAACACAGGTTCATGGTCAACATTCTATTTAGGATAATAGCAGAAAACACAAACCTGCATCCGAAGAATCCCCTATGGGCAGATAAGCCAGAAGGATGTGCTGCCTTGAGAATATGATGCTTCGTTTCATCAATTAACCTGTATAATATTTCCACAATTTACATTCAGAATCCTAATCGAGATTTGTATTTAACCAGATTGTGGAGACTACATACTCCCACAAGACATCTGTCCCATATGAGATTTTCACTATACTCTTTAAATTATTTAAAAAAATGATAACTAATTTGCAATCCAGAGGTCTTCAGGAGAACAACCACTTTACCCCATGGGGTAGAAGCAAAATCTACTACATCCTGCCCCAGACCCTGCCTCTGTGTCGGTTATACTGGGTTCATTTGATTTTTTAAGCTTAATAACTAATACCATATATATGTAGTGGTCTTAAATTTGTAAATCCATGTTGTATTTAAAAATAAGATATGGTAGGTTTGACCTCAAAAACCAAGAACAATTTAATGTGATTTCATCTAGAGACATACATTAAGTACCTCGATTTTGCTTGGGCATAGTTTCCCCAAAGAAGGAAAACAATCCCTTTGTTCTTTTTAGAGATTGTCTCAATCACGGAATCAGTGAATTGTTCCCACCCTTTCTTTGCATGAGAATTTGCCTGATGCTGCCTAACTGATAACAATACATAAAACAAAAGGAGTTGGTCGATGGAGAGGAATTAAAAAACAATAATCTTTATAAGTATTGGAATCTCCTAGAAAAGCAACTCGATATTAGATTATCAAATTTTGGTTGAAATGGCACTTTAACAGCTAGATATACGAGCTCCTGCTACTGAATAGGATATGTATGTATTTAGTTTAATCTAGTAAGATCTTATTGATCCATCCCATTGGCCCACATTGTACTCTATATTTCGCTTAAGAGAGAAAATGGGAGTTTACCTGGGTAGTAAGGAGAACCTTTTTTTTCCAATGATCGTTTGGTACTACATGAACAGTCTCTATTTACCTTTTTCTTTCTCATGCTCACATTTTTTGTCGGGGTCTTCACGGAAACAATCTCTCTCTATCCGAAAGATCTATGTATATCCTACTCCCAGACCCAATCTCTACATGAGATTTACTGAGTTTGTTATATTTGGTTTTCCTCTCATAGTCGCATTTTTTTAATGAGAAGCCTTCTCTACTCTTTGTTAGAATATGCGGAAACCCATTAGATTACTCTCTAAAAGAGCCCTAGAGGAGAGAAGAGATGTTCAAACATCTACAGAGATGAAATGGTCCAAGTTTAGCTGATGTAGGACTGTAACACTCTTATTAAGGTAGGGTATGACTGTTAATCGACTTTGGTGAATTGATGATACTGATCTTTTTGATAAATATAGCACGATGGATGGTTCTACCTTTTTTCCTTACCTCACTTAAGTTTCTCTTCTACCTGCTTCTATTTGTATGTCATTGCTTTCTTAATTAGTTTTTTTAAATAACTTTTAATATTTGTCTTTCCCTCTTTCACCCTTTTCACAAGCCGGGGTTCATGGTAACAACCGCTCTATTCTTTGAGGTAGAGGTCAAGTCTGCGTATATCCTACCAGAGACTCCACCTCCGGGTGGGATATATTGAGTTCGTTTGGTTTGGTTTGGATTTAGATGGTTCTACTTTTTCTAGAAACTTTATCCACACATACAAGATTCAAGCATATATGTACTGCACAGATTCCATTACAATAGAAATGAAGTGTCTTACCAGTAAGAACGGCATTGAGCAACAGGACACCCTGCATGTCAGTTTTGATGTCAGATGATAAATTCTATTAACAATGTAAAGAGGCTTAAACATTATTCAACACTACTGAAGGTTTTTTTTAATAAAAAGCTTGTATATAACATTAAAAATCTGCCAAAAAACAAAACCACTTAAAATTCCAGTTTAACGGATAGCTAAAATAATTTTCCGCACATTTTCCTAAACATGATCCTAAAGAATAGCATGATTGTAGAAACTAAACTTGTATAACTTTATTTTATCTGAAAAAATTTCCTTTTGCATTTACTGCGGAAAAGGGAACGAGGAGAGTTAAAGGAACCCTAATGTCTAAAAATTCAAAAAAGGCAGATATTGGGCTACGTGGCGAACAGATTTTTAAGATATTTAGTATAAAATAGAAGTTGAGCACTTTAATATTTCATTCTCCATTTGAGATATAAAAAAATTCAGCAATACTAGTAGCATTTATGTTCTAGCACACTAAATGTAACATTTGCTCTTGATCAATGTTCCAATTCATGGGTAATTCAACCAGAGTCGGACCAAATGAGAGGAATTATTATAATATGTGGAACCATTTTGATTCTCTCACTAAAAGAGCGCTTATAGAGGTTTGATGGAATGCAAGTTTCACCTGTATAGCCCATCGTTCCAAATTCCCATGAGATGGTATTGAACAATTCAAGTCCTGATGAAGTTCCTTGTATATGTTCACCAAACTTGAAGGTACTTTTATTCCTTGTGGAACAGAGAAAGAGAGGCCCATAGCTTGACCAGGTCCATGATATGGGTCCTAACATAACAAATATCCAGAGTGTTAATATCTTTCATACCCAATGGTGAAGAGGAAAAGGTGATGCTATTTGCACTCCAGTTGCTTGATCTTGCACTTATCTGAGTCAAGGAGACTTCAAGGAAGTTCCTCAAAGCTGCAGTTTCACGATATATAATCATGATAATCAATTTGATAATAGGAATGAATAGCAAAAGAAATTCAAGACAAAAAAAGCCTTGAAAGAAAAAATTGAGAATGAAGGTGCAACAACTAATTCAGCTCCGTCCAGCAACTCCTACAGGGCTCTACAGGTTTTCTGTAGGATTAGTAAGTCAAAAAATGATTTTTTACCAAAGTCGGCAATGACTGAAAATGCCCAAATTCTCTCTGTAGCTCCATAAACAAGAAAAAGGTAAAATAATGGAATAAAAGACTCAAATATTGGATTTGGGAAAATAAAAACAAAGATAAATGACCAGAAAAGTAGTGTTGTAGGGTCAATAATTTGACACCTATCAGAAGGCAACAGAAGAGAGACAACATTTAATCAGCATATTTTGAGTTTTGAAAAAGTGGCTTCAAGTAAACACCTGACCGATGATGACAGCTTTGATTTTGTCAAATGGGGTAGAATTCAGTGCGTTGAAGATCAAATGCTGAGGTGGGTAGATTGGTATGGGGCCTTGTATTTCACTCTCTATGAATTCACTCAATTTCTTGGCATAGGGCTTCTGAAACTCCCCAGGGAGGGCTTCCAACCATGTTTCTTCCACCAACAGTTCTTGTAGTTTCAAAAATCTCAACCCCTCACCTAAACATATAGGATTATTAGTGTATAAAATGATTAAGAGTTACGTAGAACACAAGAAAGTAATTCATCTGACTATAAATTCAACTCGATTTTTCCCCCTTTTCCTAAGGGGAAACAACAATATACATAACTCTTATCAGTTTCATATAAATGCTCCATGTTCAATTAGAGTCTCCAAATCCACTTCAGTTTTCGTGGTTAGGACTATCAGTCAAACATAAATTAGTCAAAGAACTTACCAGAAGTGGAGTTCGAAACCCTCTCCGCACAAATTCTGAGATTACGTTTGGCTTTGGCCAGTGATTGATTGAATTGAACCTTCAATTTCTGTTCCGCAGTGAGAGTCGAAGAAGGTGAAGTCTGAACTGTGGTGGGTTCATCATCCTGAATCGACTCCGGTAGGGAAGATGGAACGGCGTCGGTGGTGGGTTTTTGGGGAACGTCGAGGAAGTTTCTTTTTAAGGAAGGTTCGAAGGATGAAGCTGCTTTGGAGCGCTTTGCAGGTGGGAAGAAATCAGTTATGGCTTTAGAGGAAGCCATATTGTGGGTAGATTTTACCAAGAACACAGGTATTTTGTGGAGTATTATGGCGGGAAATGTGAAGAAAGGCGCGGAGCGATGATTGATGCAGGAACGCATAGAAATTGATCAGGGGAAAGGGTTAGTGATCCGTTTACATTATTGATATGAATTAATTCTATTAAAAATAAATTTTCCAATAACTCTTAAATATTTAACCACAAGGTTTGTGTTGGAATGGTTTGAGCTTGGCTCCAGAGGTCAAAAAGTATAAGGAGATTCCAGTTTCAAATCAAAAGAGGAATAAAATCCCCTTTGTGGCCACCGGAGGTTCACATGTGGTGACTCCTAGGGATGGTGATTTGGCCCGACCCGGTGGGGAACCCGGTTCACCCGACCCGGACGGGGACGGGGATTCCCCGCTAAAACGGGTACCGGGGCCGAGGCCGGGGATCCCCGGTAGAGGCAAACCGGGGACGGGGCCGGGGCCGGGTATTGTATCCCCCGACCCGCCCCGTACCCGGTATATATATAAATATTAAACATTTTTATTATTTGGGCTTATGTGATATATATAATTGGGCTTAGATTTATTATGGACTTGGGCTTTTACAATTTTATTGGATTATTGTTAATTTTACAATTTTATATTTTTATTAGGTAAGACTAGATATGATGTAATTAACTAATTATGTTGTTATGTTGATCATGCTTAGAAAAAACTTATTAATTTTAAATTGACCGGAGGTTGACCGGGGGTTGACCGGGGACGGGGCCGGGGCCGGGGACTATTTATATAAACCGGGGCCGGGGCCGGGGATTGCAAACCCCGCCCCATCCCCGCCCCGTTGCCATCCCTAGTGACTCCGGACTATTTACAAAGCAGATGGTCGTCCTGTGATTAATCGGCTCGCATAGCAGGTTGGATATTCAGGTTAATTTGTACAATAGTCATATCAAACATCAGACAAATACTTATTCCGTTAAGTTCTATCCAATGCTATCCTTTTGTCTTGTTCAGTCATGTCTACGTACCAAACACTACATAAAAGTCTAGTCCATAATCAATCAACTTAAAAAAATGACTCAACTGGCGAGGCTAATCAGTCATTGATCCGTCAAGACCGGTCGATCTTAACCGAAAGCGGTCCCTCTTGACGGATCCGTTGTGCCCATCTCTCTTAATGATATGTAATTTCAGTTTTCTTTTTATCATAATGAAATATTCCTTTTAACTAAAATAGAAAAAGAATAATCCGTTACAAGTACGAAATTTCACGAGCCACACCTACATGCCTTCAAAACACACGATTCGTCTCTACTAGAGATACACAAGACCCGAGCTTTCTCCGGCTTGGGGTTGGGAAAAATCCCGATCAGGTTTTTTTCATGCCGGGCTTAACCAGGCTTTTCTTAGGCAGGATCTTTTCGTGTTGGGCCTATGCGGGTCTGCCTCCACAATTTTGGCCTGATCTAGACTTCAGGCTTACTGGGCCTGGGCTATTTCAAATAACGTTGTTAACTTCTGCAAAATGTTGACAGCATTCACATCAAAGTAGCTCTGAGTGGTGGTGATTAACGAATAATTGATTGATATCTGCTGTACAAAATTCTGTATTTAACTGTTTGCTTACATGATACAGTTTCAATATACACAATGAATTATGAATGTTAACCGAAATATGTACTTGTTTGATGGTCAAAATCAGCCCATTGTTTCAAAGTGTTCGGCGGATGATTTTGCCTCGAAAGCAATACAGAACTCTATAAGAATCATCTTTACCACTTAAAAGTCATCAAGGCCGGTATATTTTGATCGTTTTAGAGACTTGGAGTCGACAAAACGGACATCGGGAAACAGCAGATGAGCATCGACGACATAGCACATGACCACACGGAACGACTGTAATATCGATTTCATTGGTCAAACAGATTCGGCATAGCCATGCTGCTTTAGCTGTGTCGGCTTCTTTTGTTGCCATATCTGATTTCTCCTGGAAATATGCCACAAAATATGAATGAATCAGTGTTTACACATTTAAATACCTCATATACCAAAAATTATATGTATAATCTATCAATACATTTCAATCATCAATGAGTAAAGCTGGTATTTGTTTATGAAGTGTCAACAATGATTAATCAACCTCTCATAATTATAAAAAAAATGAACAAAATGAAAAATTATGATTGGTTGAATACGGTTTGCACGGTTTGTACAAATTGAGTGGTTTGCATTTGATCGCTCCCCTATATATATATATATATATATATAGAGAGAGAGAGAGAGAGAGAGAGGCAACCCCAAAAATAATGAAAAACGAGGAACAACTTGGAAAGTGGAAACCATTCACCTAGACGGTATGGACATATCCGTACAAGTAATTGAAGTTGTTTCTTGGTTTTTATGCACGTGTGCATGTTATGAACATGTGCATACCGGACAAATTGATTACAACCCACTTGTATACACATGTGCATACAATCCAAATGAATGGCTACCAGGGTGTTCCTTAGTTTTTCATTCTTTTGCCATTTTCCCCTAAACCTGACCATATCTCTTAAACAACCCTAAATCACAAATACCAGATATAGAATCTGAGAAATTTTCACTTTGTGAGAAGGTGAGAACAAGTGAAGATACCATTGTATTGTGTGAATGCTACGTTATATTGTGTGAACACTGTTAACTTCCACATCACCAGTTTGTTCTCACTGGAACCCAAACCACCATATATAAACACATATTACACGTATCTGACAACGAAATTCCAGAATTTTGTGAAGATGGGAGTATATAAAGTAATGAGATGCAGACCTGCTCAAGCAGAAGTGCTGCCTGAGATTCCTTCAATCGTTCTTGCAACGACAATGTTGACTGGAGGAGGGACTGCTTCTCTGTGTCCATCCTGATTCCAGCAGCAGACAGCATCTCTTGAACTGCTTGAACCAATTCCTCAGCGGATACACGACCATGCTGAAGTTCTTTAATCGGTTGTCGCTATCAAAGGAGGATATGACATCAATGAATTTGCACGAGTCAACTCTAATTATGGACCAACTATTACTGCATCTGATATTTAAATCCGGTTTTGGTTTTGATATTACAGGTGGTACTTCTCAAAAGTAAACCAAACTAACGCAATATATCCCACAAAAAGTAGGGTCTTGAGGGTAGGATGTAGGCAGACCTCGCCTCTACCCCAAAAGGTAAAGAGGTTGTTTCCATAAAAACCCTTGGCTTGCAAAACAAAAACACAAGGAGACGTTTGAGAAAAGTAGCATAAGTAACATACAAGTGTGTGCAACTACCAGCAAGAAGAAAAACAAAAACCAACTTACAGAGCAGAAAAAACTAAGGGCCTGTTCATTAGCAGCTTAATGAGCTTAATAGGATTCGCAACTTGTTCAGTCAGTTATACTTGGCTGTTTGGTAGTGACATGGGGCCCCTTTCCCAAACGCTTACCCGGGTAGGTGCTTACCGGCAAAATTCAACATTGTCACTTACTTACCAAGTAAGATTTTAGTCCACCAAAACGGTATCGTATGCAACAATTTACCCGGTAAGCGCTAACCATGGTAAGAGTCGTCGCCCTCACTTACCAGGTAAGACTCTCGGTCCTTGCCTTCGCCCTTACCGGGTAAAATTCTTGGTATTTGTCATATTTAAGGTAATGTGACTTGGGAAGCGCTTACCCGGGTAAGCGTTTGGTAAGCGTTTGGTAAACGTCCCCTTAATGATATAGAAAGTGACTTATTCAGTAAGCTTCTAGGAGGGAGCTTTGTGTGGAAAGTCAAGTTTTTTGCAAACCTGATCCTCCCAATTATAAAACACGCACCTTCCATTTATGAAAAAACCAGAAAGTCAAGTTTTTTCCAAACCCGATCCTCCCAATTAAAAAACATGCACCTTCCATTTATGAAAAAACTCTCCTAAACAAAAATCCATACAAACACATTAATCCACCCATACAACTTTGTACATACAGGAATTAATAGAAAACCAGCCAAACATCCCCTAAGACTAGAGGGTTCTAACATACAGCAAGAGCAGGAAACTACGACTCGCTATTTTGGAAGATGTTTTGACATACAATAAGGGCAGGAAAAATTAACTTACAATTTTGGAAAGAGTTTCTGATATACAATAAGAGCAGGGAAAACCAAGACTCGCACTTTTGGAAGGAGATTGTATAAAACAAGTAAGCCTACAAACCTGATTTTTCAACTTCGCTCCTCCAGACCCTTCTGGTTGCTCGACACGCTTACTATTTACGATACTATCACTGTCCACAGGCATCATATGTGTGGAAGACTCGTTGTCAATTGACAAACTTCTAAACGAGAAAACATGTGAAGAAAGAATAGTCTCAGTCTTCCCTGGAGAAGTTTCAAGATTGAATCTATAAAGTGCTTGCCCTGCTGATGGTCTTACATCCTCCGGAATCCTACCATACTTCAACTTTTCTCCATTTTGACTTCGCCACGCCACTATCTCTCCTTTATAAAATGGTCTTAAAGGGTGAAGTTGCACTTGCATTGCATCTTGCGGAAGTATATCCCGGCCAAGAAAACCACTTCCGCTACTCATGCCATCTATCATCCTCCCATCGGAAGAAAGTTTCAAAATATTAACAAGCGCGGTTTCAGAGTCTTCTGGACAGAGAAATAACGAACCAATGGGTAGTGGGACTGGAGAGCCCAAAGCATGGCTCACAACGATCGCAACAAGATCAAGAACAGATACATAACTTGGTGGTTCAGCAATTAGCAAGCGAGTATTTAAACGATCAACATAATAGAGGGCTCGATGGCTGGATCCGTTTTCCCATCCTGGAATGATGGAATCTTTTGATGCACGAGTGATGTCTAAAGATTTTGGGAGGAGCCAAAACCGGGTATAGAGGGATCGCACAAACTGCAATCTTTGAGCAATGGATTCAAGTGATCTTTGTAGTGTCTGCAAATCTGGAATTTTCGATCCGGCAGCATTGCTAGGTACACTGTTGAGAACACTTGATACAGCAACCTGAAATGACTTGCTTGACAACTTTAGCCTGATGGTTGACAATGAAACAGACCCAACCTCTTCAAGAGTCTGCAGATGTTCAACAGGATCGAGCTCCTGCAAAACGATCAATGCTATGAGACCATATTGTGAAAAACAACCAAAAAGTGCAGCAAAAAGGTGGCAAAATAGACAAACTTAAAATATAGCCAGAACACAAGAGTATATACCTCCACAACAACATCAGATAGCTTTTTTATGCCGAAGGTCAAACACAAAGTCTCTGAAACATCATGGTGAACAAACCTCAGTCTCGAAGAATCAATATACTTCACATACCGCGAACCATAGGGATCAATATATACACATGAATTTGCATGAACGAGTCTGCAGCCATCATCAGGGACAATCAACTCGGATTCCCAGTTGGATCTATCTGACTTATGCTGTTCAATGGTTTCATTACAGAGAAAATGTAGAATTTCCATCACTGCACGGAGTTCATTTGGATTAAGACGTTGATACCCACAAGATTTTTGAAGATTTAAAAGAAGGTCCATTGCACAAGAAATAGATAGCGTGTCCTGGATCCCCAGTTCTTTCAGAATCTTCACAAATGGCAGGTAGCGTGAAGGAAGTTCAAATGCAAATGGGGAGAGATTTATCGTCAGGCGGGTAAAAAGAGAATTGGAGGTCACTAAGCGTGTCCCATTAGCAGCTGGAATGAATGCCACTTGCTGCAACTCCGATATATCTAACAAGAAAAAGAAAAGAGAGTAGAGTAATTGGCCTAGTACACAAGTGAGAAGTTTCCATCTTTGTTTCCCAAATTAGTGGAAATCAAAAAATAGGTGAATACAGAGATTGTACCTAATCCAATAGACCATATTGTTGGGCCTATTGACATTTTAAACATATCTTATTTAGTACTGTCAACTCATGAGCTTTATTTACTTAAATACTGTTTCCTAAAATATAGGCACCAAAGGTGCATATACATTGTAAGGTCTTGTGTAATAAGATACACATTGTAAGGTCTTGCGTCATAAGATACAAGTGAAATATTTTCAGTATTATCATAATATTCAGTTAGCATCCATTTACATGCCTATTTCAGTTGTCATGGTGAACCCCATAATATCCATATATTGCCATCAATCTTCGATTTCACATACTAACTTAAGCACACTTAAAAATGCTATTTTTGTCCAATGTAACCTGTAGCCATAGTAAATTCATTTGATAGGACCCAAAACAAAAGGATTTACATTACAAAGCAAGACAGCCCTGACAGCCCCATATGCATAACAATTTTTAACCAAACACACCAATATTTCTAAATAAATCATGCCATATGGATCCTAAGCATATATGTGAAGTGGTTCTAGTTGTTAGTTTGTTCATTAAGCTACAAGATGCAGAAATACAGAAGGAAAGAAATGAAGAAAGGAAGAGCTATTGGATGTGATCTTATTACATGGTACATGGCTAGAATGTGTATGGATCCATTGTAAAAATTTTCCCGAGTGGTGCTTGCATGCATTCTACCCTCCCCAACCCCACCTTCTGGTGGGATATATAGGGCTCGTTTGGTTTGGCCTGGTTTGGTATTATTAACATCCATGCAGGCCACAAGAAGCAAAAAGATATGTCCAATTAGAAGTAAATATGGGTTATTTGAGTTCATATCAAAGATGTAACCCTCTACCCAGGCTAGAGATTTGCTACACCCTGATTGACCTAACAACAGTAATGATACTTTGGACAAGAATTCCTTTTTACCTGACGAAGATAGTGTACCCCAAATTTTTTCCAGATACTTGAATACCTCAAAAGAAGCTTCCTCAACTGTTATTAATCCTGACTCAGTAGGCCAGTGAGCCAGAGTGTCTTCACCAAAATTTCGTCCAATAGCCTGCAATAATCATCAGCTTGAGTATTATTTTAATCCACACCCTATAATACCCGTCAGATGTGTGTGTGTGTGTGTATATATATATATATATTAGTTTAATATATATATATATATATATATATATTGAAGTTTGGGTTGGTTTAAGAAGTTTACCAAACTTGAGGGGTTAGTTCTGCATAACTCGCTTTAACTTTGCAATTTGGATGATGGGCTTGGGCTTGGGCTTTTGTATATTAGGGTTTAATTAGGGTTTAATTAGGGTTTTTTTTCCTTATATTTAAACCTAACCCTAATCTTTTTTTTAACCTAATCCTCCTCCCTAACCCTAATTCCTCTAATTGTGATAATCGTTAGAAAGAAACCCTAAGAGCTTGGAAGAGTCCATTRRTAACCTAKAAGGGAACCCGACGGCCAAAAGCAAGCAAGGTTCCATCGATTTCTTGTCGGTTTGAGGTAAGTTTTTGTCCCTTTCTCTAATCTATACATTTAGTAGTTAGGTTAT